TTTCAAGCCCGATCTTGTCATTTAATCCCAATTTCAGATCAGGCATTCCAGAAAGGAAGCACTTCATAAGAATCTTCCCAGTCACATCACATCGTAGAACACTCCCTGCAGAGAAGGCAATTTCCACATTAAACATCAGTCAAAGCAACATTAAGGACAACAAAAACATCAGAGCAGTACAATAAAATCATAGTAATCCATGAAATACCTTTAGAAGACATAAGAAGATTTACACTTTCAACAATGTCCAAGAAAACCTTTCAAGAGAAAAGAATACTATATTAGTGTATCTCAATGCTAAAAAGAGTCATGCAAAGTGCTAAAAAGAAATAAAGTATGCAGAACCAAAATGGCAACAAAGAAATCAACAAATAAAGTATGGACTACTTCTGTAACAGGCAATCTAGTGCACATTGACAATATGTATGAAAACTATTCTGCATGTCGAAATACATGCAGCGTTCTGACATTACTAGCATCTATGCTGAGCTGGGATTATTAGAAATGCTAGCTAGCTAGCAATGCATAATATGTCCAAATACAGATGAAACTTGGAGGTGGCATTTGGAACAGGCACCTCGTTCTTCTTGTACATAAGACCCTCTCTTCTCCAACCAACAGCACCAGTAACTTGTAGAGTGGCATTCGGAACAGGCTTATCTGAAGGCTATCAGTGCAGAGAACAAAAAAAAAATGATTCAGATGCTTTCACACAAAATAAATGAGCAACAAACTATTTGATGTGACTTTTTATCCGGTTATCTTATTTCAATGTCACATTTTTCTCACCTTGGAGGAAAATGGCGACCGAACTCCTTCTTGAGTTATATACAATTTTAAGATTTCAGGTGAGAGGTTTTGAGGGTAACCGAAGTCCATAATTTCTGCACAGTTAGATGAGAGAGACAGTTCTACAGGTAAATAGAAGCATCCACAGTGCAAATTGATGAAACAAAGTCCAAAAATAAGATGTCCCTTACCATCAAGAAGCTCATAGATTAAAACAAAGTTATTTCTGATAGCATCTTCATCAAAAGCACCACCAAAGTATGACTTGAAAAGAGCCACTGCCTGGTAATTTACAAAAAAAATCATACATAAAAAACCGTTCAAAACACTAGAGGATGATATGCAGGTATCAGAAGGATATATGTCTAGAATTTATAACTGAAGCTTCATTATTGACTCACATCTACCAACTAGTTAAACTAATTCTACGCCCAGTCAGCCTCATCAAACAGGGCTTAAGAAATTATAGAAAGCATCGAAACAGGGCTTAAGGAGTATTTTCCAGCAATGATTAACAAGGAACATCGACCATGTAGCCATTCAAGGAAAAAAAAAACTTTTGGTTCCTCAAAAAATCATCACCATTTACGCAATTACGCTTAAGCGATAGAAAATTCTAGTTGCCCCCAAAACATACCATCATTAGATGGTAAAACTGTCTAAACTTTTCGACGGCATATTGCAATTTAAAATTATTATTATTATTAAACAGGTAACTTCAGAAAAATCATATGCCTCTTTAGTAACTAATAGATTCTTTTGCTCTGGACTTATTGAGGAATTAGACTAGCCATCTATGCTACAACACACTAACATAGACATACCATTTCTAGCGGAAAAAACAACAATTGACTTCTTGAGCTTCATATTCATCTAGATCATAGAGATGTAATATGTATGCATGTTATATTTATTTTATTCCAAATTATTCAAAGATGATATAAATTGCATACCTCCACGACAAACTTGAAAGCACAAGCAACATTAGCATTGCTGCTAACCACGATCACAATATAGACATTACTAATCCTCATGTAAAGGAATGAACAGCCTCCTATTTGCCGAACAGGGCATGTACCCAGTTCTTTTGTTTGCATAATGTGCATCCTGAATGCATCAACCATATTTCCCCTGTATAGTCATACATAATGAGCAAAACAGGTGGTCAGTAAACTTGCACGCAACCAAATACCAAAAAAAAGAGGGTTTTAAGTAAGACAAGCAAACCGAAAATGTTTAGTGGTAGTTTACATTTTTAGCACCCTTAGAAAATAATGGCTATCGTATTAAAGACAACAAGGCCACTTGCTATATCTTTCTCGATAGTAAACCACTAGGAAAGATCATATGAGCTATGCAGCAGTCAGCTTATATGAAATGCTTCAGTCAACACAACATCGAATTCAGAATGTGGAGGGGAAATAGTATAAAGTCAATTGTTTCAGATAATCGACCACCACAGCACAGCCATCCAAGGTGAAATCGAACTAATTCTCCTATTCAGTATTTCAGTCAGTGGCATCTTCCTTCATGCTGCAAAACATGTAGCTTCCACAATCACAAGCTAAAGAACGAGATACCATTCCGAAATTCAACCACATGGTATTGCGACAACCTGAGGGTAGGGGCCAAATTTCAGCACGCAACGAGTCAATCCCCGCATCCCGTTCGCTAATCGAAGCCTTTCCGAGCGGAATTTCACGAGCTATCCACTAGACCTCGCGCGATCCGCGCAACGGCGAGCTAGGAAACGGAGCTAATCGATCCCAACGGCCTCAGATCTACCACTCCAAACCACGAGCGGCGCGGGCGCAGGAGGCGCGGCGAGACGACGAGGCGAGGCGAGGGGGGGATGATTGCGAACGGTACTACGCACCCGACATCGTCGCGGTAGAGGCGGTTGATGAGGACGTCCCCTCGGAGGTTGAGGAAGTAGATGGCCGACGCCGCCACCGGCATCGTCGCCGCCCGCTCGCCCCCGCCCGAGCGCCTGGCACACACACCCCGCTCCCCAACCTCAACGCCTGGATCCCGCGGCGCTCTCCGCCGGCGACAGGTCGGAGCCGGTGATCCGGGGGCTCGTCGGATGGTGAGGTGAGGCGAGGTGAGATGGGACGCGGGTTTTGGTTAGATCTCGGGGGCAGCACGAGCAACCAGCCCCAGGTCGTCTTCCCTTCCGGGGAGCTTTTTCGTGTACTTTTTCGAGATGGACCTCGCAAGAGAGCATATTTCCGTGGTCGCCTATTGTAGGTAAGCTCGGTTGGTGTTGGACTGATGGCCCCCACGAGAAGTTTCAAATTTCATCGCATCTGAAACAGTAGTAGCAGCAATAATCCTGAAGAAATTTTACTAGTCCCAAATCCAGAATGCAATAATTGTAGACCTGAAAATAATTCTCAAGAACAGAACCAATGTAGTCTTGTGGAGTTGGTTAACAAACAAGACAATTTTTTCTCTCTTTTGGGATGAAAGATAGACCAATATAATGGATATGTCAATTAGTCATGCATACGTAATTAGACTTTATTGGAAGGAAGTATTTTTCTAAATTTTTCAAGTTATTTATTGAAATTTATGTAAAATTATGTTCATTCTTAATTAAGCTACTAGTAATAAAAATCAGAAGGCAAACAGAGTTGCATAGTTTTACTGGAAGTAAGAAAGACTTCAATACCTATTAAGACATGGAAAAACCATCGTCCCAAAACATTTGCTTTTAAGTAGGTCTACTCCTATTTGATTAAGGTTGTTAGCTTAATTTTTTACTACTTTGAAAAATATTGTTTCATATATGATAAATCAAATTGAAATTTGAATCAAGGTGGGGTTTTATGAAACATTTAGACCATAAAAATATGTGACTATGTGTCACAAGTCAAAAGTCATAATGCATGCAGTTTTCTGCAATTTTGACCATAGAACATGTGGTTATACGAAATTCACTCTTTTTTTAATGATTAACGTAGGGTCGTATTCAAGTTATTTAGCTCATAACATGATATTCCTTTTGTTGAGATTTACACCATGAGTAGCATGTGTTGTTGCCAATTAAATAAAGTCTTGACATAGGGTAAGATGCTTGGTATACTTTTGTTGTGGTATCGTCTATTTACCCTTAAGAGAATGTTTTGATTTAAAAGGAAATATATGGACATTCTTTTGCACATAAATTCATCCATTCGAACATGTAAGTGATCAATTGCCACTTTTCTTGATTTCCATGGCCCGATATGATTATATTTGTTAGACCAAAGTAAGATTCGATAGTTATAATATAAGGTTTTAAAAAGATTCGATAGTTATAATATAAGGTTTTAAACACTTATAACTTGTTTGATATTGTCAATACACCCTCTCAGCCTCTCCTTTCCCTCACTGAGGGTTCCCAACAACCTATTGTTCGTGGTGGAAGCCCATAAAATTAACTTACATGGACTAGACTATACCATAATTTACGAGGATGTCTAGCCTACTCTACTCTATTTTCATGGGCATTACCGCATTATGTGCCTGATCTAAAAGGTCGTGAATTATTATCTAATTAATGCCTCTTTTCAAATGCAGCCTCAACAATAAGACCATCTAAGATCCCTCTAGAATTTACTCCTCCTGCTCCCTAAACAAGCTCCTAGCAAACTCAACCGTAACTTCTAAGTTTGTCATCAATATTATACTACCATTATCTCAAAATATAGCAACTTTTAGCTATATACTTTTACATACTTCTAGGTAGAGTACATAGTTAGAAATAATTATATTTTAGGATGAAGGTTGTATGAGACATGTGACAAAAGCCAGACTGAATGTAGACAACGGGCTCACGCATAGGAACATTTTGTTATGCAACACTAACTTACCATCGAAGTGTTGGAGTTAAGAAGTACTCTTTCCGTTTTATATTGTAAGACCTTTTGGTGTTACTTACATTTATTCATTGATGAATGTATATGTTTTATATATGTGTCTAGATTTATTAATATCTATATAAATACAGGTAAGAAATTCTTATATTGTGAAACGAACGAAGTGTCACGTATTATCGCTAGAAGATGTGGCCTGTAAAAAAGCTCTATTCATCAATACCGATGCCGCAATTTATAGATTGGTGGTGCCAACAGCTAGAATTTGGATCAGGGGGGATAATATCCGAATCAAACTTGATTGGTTTGTTCGAAAAAACCAGGGGAAATGTCGCCTGAAAATCTCGATGATATCCTTGAATACTTGAAATGCATTACGTTCCCTTTTTTTTTGTACGTGATGAGAAAACACATTTCCGATTTTTTTCTGTAAAAAATACACATTCTTTTTTTCGAGGGACCAGAAAAAAAAACACAATTTCCATCTGCTTTGTTGTTACAGCTTAGCCACGGTAATCAGAAAGAGAGGGGAGAAAGAATCAATCGAGCAGCCTGAGGTAGTCCCTGAAGTCGGTAGGGAAGCACGCGTACTGCCTCCAGACTACCCCGTGGATCCTAACCATCCTCACCGTCTTCTGCTTCGTCGACGGCGAGCTCTCGACGTGGAGCAGCCCCAGGAGCTTCGCGACGGCGCCGGTCAGCATCATGTCCTCGAGGACCTTCTCCGACGGCGCCACCACGGACACGAGCCACAGCACCTTGACGGCGAGCTGCGTGGACAGCTCCGACACGCGCAGCATCGTCCTCGCCACGGCCGCCACCGACAGGTCGTGCTCCGCGAAGGCGAGCCGCCCCTCGGGGCACTTGCACAGCCGCTTCAGCAGCAGCAGTACCCGCTCGGTGACGCGGCGGTCGTCGGCGTCGGCGAGGAGCTCGACGAGGACGTGCACGGCGCCGACCTCGACGGCCTTGGCGCGGGCGCCCCGCGCCCGCTCCACGACGTCGAGGAGCACGTCGAGCGCGCGCGAGCTGAGCCTCGTGGAGGCCTCGTCGGAGAGGAGCTCGAGGAGGGACTTGATCACGTCGTCGATGTCGACGCCGGCGGTCCAGTCGCCGCCTGATCCGGAGCTGGAGATCTTGGTGAGGATGTCCATGGCGTGCAGCCTCGCCTCGGCGCCGCCGCGCTGGAGCAGCGCCATGACGGGCCTGATGCACTCCGGCGCAAGGACGACCCGCACCGACGCCTCGTCCGAGAGCGGGAGCGCGGCGAGCACCGCGGCAGCCTCCTCGCACGCGGCGAACGCCGAGAAGTCGCCGCCGCTCTCCGCCAGCGCCTGCGCCATCACGCGCCCCACCACGCGCACCCCGCCCGAGGCGACGAACTCCCCCTGCATTGCCACGTCGCCCGCCATGCGGGCCCTCATGCTCTTCAGCTTGGTCACCTTGAACGGCGTCTCCTCCAGCTCGGCCAGCGCAGCCAGCAACCGCTCCTGCTCCAGCGCGCGCGACAGCGGCGTCGCCAGCTCGTGGATCGGGCTCGACAGCGTCGACGTCGACGGCGACGAAGACGACGACGACGACGAGCCGCGATCGAGCCACGACGAGATGACGCGCTTGAGAGTGTGGTTGGGAGTGAGGTCGAAGTTGGAGAGAGGCTGCATGGTGGCCGGGCAGGTGGTCCGGCCGTAGACGAAGAGCCACTCCTCGATGCTCCGGCGGTCGTACGTCACGCCGGTGGACACCGTCACCGGATCCTCCATGAGCTCCATGGAGATCGGGCAGAGGAATAGCTGAGGAGGCTCGTCCATGGCGGCCATGGGTTCGCGTCGCAGTCACAGAGCTGAAGCTGAGCAAGTAATGACACGGTGGGCTCATTATATATACTTGTAGGGGCATATGGGCTGGCAAGTGTGCAAGTCAATAGTCAAAGGTAAGAGATGCTTGCAATTAGTGGTGAGAAGGTCATGGTCTCATGGAAGCTTGATGTGACCTGTAAATTGGACTTTTTCAAGTGACGTGCAAAACATTTCCATTTTCTAAAACATAGTATATAGTATTATGTAGTATTTTTCGAGATATGTATGCCATGCCACATCCATAAATCTGATGGAAATTGGAAATGTTTGTGGCCATACTTGACAAATGATGACCAAGTGCAATCCTAATATCTCCACTAATTAAATTTTACTGGAGTAGTTAGGAGGAGACTATGCAATATGCATGGTATTAATTTAAAACAAAAAACATAAGAAAATGACAAATGTGATATGCATATCATGAATTGTTAAATGGAGACGGCAGACACTTTGGGTGTGGACGGCAGATATCTTCCGATTATTGGTGTTGATTTTTAAGGATTTTCATGCTTTTCTCTTGCAAGGCTGTATATTGTTGAACTCTTTTGCTTACAGTTCATATGATTTTAGTTGCAGGCGGTTGAGCGCTTCGCACGACGATGTTTCCTGTCCTAGAAGTGAGACGCGCGCGCTCTAAGCTCCTCGGAGTAAACAAGTAAGATACCACCACTTGCTCAAGTCAAACGCCGAAAGTTCTTAACATTTACAAGTCAAGAACAAGATACCATTTCCTTTCAAGAACGGATTCCGTACTGAAAATCTCAAACGTCTTTGCAGTGATGCAGACGAAAATAATTAGAAAGGTGATTATGTTTTGTTTGCACAATTGTGTACGCTGAGCTAACGTGCAATACACCAATAGAAAAACTCTCTGATCTGAGGATGCATAAGTATACATGGAACGCACTATACCTCTCAGATCATGTTCGCATTGACCCTGTAATGCGATTCGTATCTCAGTAGCCAGTAGGTACGTCACAAGCAGATGGCTTTCAAATCCTTGAAAAAAAATTTATCAAAGGACTATTTAAACGCAGCTCATGATCGCTAAGAATCATTCCAGACGTTGACTAATGCACATATAAAATGCATCCTAAGAATTATCACCGATCGTAAAGCCATTATAATATATCATCAGATGCTTCGTACTAATCTGCCAAGAGATCGTGCTAGTCGTACAAGTGATTTCTCCTGTAAATTTCTTGTTACCTAAAGATCCAACCATAGGCTAGAGTATCTCAAAGATTTGATATCTTCATCTTGGGATTCCTCCGTTACAAGGTTTACCTGATCTTTGCAATGACTTTGAAACTGGGGATGAATGGATTACATAGATGACTGCAGGTCAATCTTATGGAGTTCGGTTGCAACTATCCATTTCAGATCAAACGGTTGAAAGTTGAATTGAGCTGGGAAATCCGGTTGGAACAAGCATGCAGTTTCAGAATTGAGTGCACACATTTGTAATCTCAGAGTGTCACTTATAAATATACCTAGCTTTACGCCAAACACAGGAAGTGAAAACGTTTCAGATATGAAATTCATGCAAATTGCCATCATTCCAAATGGAGCGTTAAGTTTGCCTTTTACTTCTTGCTTAGCCGATACCGAAATCAGAATCAAATGTTAGAAATCTTCTGGTCGACGGTGCTGAATCGTTGACTGAATCATCAAATGGATAGCACTTGCAATTTGTTTGAAAACAAGCTGGCGTCGACCCATACCAAGAGAGATCGATCCAGCCAGCAAAAACCACGGCCCATTCCAGGCAACTGCGAACAACAGTAGATATAGGACCAACCGAACAAATAACAACTGCTGTCCTAATTATTCGAGCACGCAAAATACCAATGGACTATCAGGAGTTCAGGACTTTACGAAAACGATGTTGAGCACCACATGAGGGACACATTTTCAATTTCTTCACCATGAATATCCAATCATATTACATTTCCTTCCCATTCCTGACATGAACATGAAAACGGCGCCTTCCAAAGACGTTCTTTCTCCAAAAATGAAAGAAGTGTCAATCTCTATGCAGCATAGCTAGCCAGCTAGGGGGGAGGGGGGTGAGGGAATTGTCACAGGTGAGTATGTAACCAATCAACTAAGCGGGTCACAAAAGAAAGTGTTCTTAACTCTGCTTTGCAAAGGGATTCCTCATATGTGTCATCTCTCTCTGCAATCTTGGTCCAACCGAGAATTAACTCTCTAGCACATTCATGGACTGTGTTTTGTGCTGAAGCTAAGATCTAGACCAACGCTGGCTCCAACTCCAATCGCTTTGACAAATGTATGGAGTGCATCATCTGTCAGCCATCTGTGGGTGTTTCTCCCCTGATGAGCATAAATGCAGTTGCTCAGAGGCTCTGACCAGCTGAGATCACTTGATGCGTCACCATAAATATTGACATCGACATTGTTCCAACTGATCATCACACATATGTTCCGGACGACTTCCAGATTCTCCCTTCCAGAGAAATAACCATGACAGTGACATCATCATGGTATTTTCTTCGGTCCCCTTGAGGTATATCTAGTAACTCATAAAAATCCATACCTAAAGAAACAAAAGTAAAAGTTAAATCATGGTATTACTGAGGGAGAAAGGAGAAAAAAAAAGGTACATGTATTTGACATTAAAGACAACTGGAAACCGTTTCGACAAGACATTCATCTATTGAAATTCAAATATTCAACACAAACGTGTACCAATGATGATGACTGCAAGTTGTTCATAACAATCAATACAAAAATATCCTACAGTAGAGCCAAAATTACCAACTGAACCATGGTGTTCTTTACACCAACAATGCAAAATTTGTTTTGCTTAACCAGCTTGCACCTTAGGACACATAGTGCTGAAAAACAGTATACCCAGTTTGCAAAATCCAGCTGTAGTTCATTTCTTGGCAAGAGGGACAGATGCTCCAAGTGTGCGAGCATGCAGGCTGATTAGCTCACTGGCCCAAACAGTTTCGAGAAACCATAATTGTTAAGCTAGGACAATGTCAATCATCTCTAACACTCTAAGCCATAGTGGAGTTTGTGATGTAGTAAAAGTGTAAAGTGTATCTTGGTCTCATATACAGGTGGGCAATGCAATAAGCCAAGGATACACTGGTAGAATTTTATCAAATCACAAACTTGAGGGAGTTGCATGAGTATCTGACTATTTCATCAAACAGAACTTTATGTCAAGAATGATTGGTAAAAGTATAAAGAAGTTCCTCACATGCCATGGACTGATATAGGAAGTTTTGACAACCGAGACAAACATGTGCAGGCAAATCAATGTTTGCACATAATCATCCAATTCTATACGCATGATGTTATATACAATGACAAAAAAAACCACCCGAGAATCAATCAGGAATTGAAATAAGCAAGAGGTATGGTATAGAAGAGAGCCTACCAGCCTTCTTTGCTGCACGAGAGAGAAGCTCCTCAATTAAACTTTGTGCAGGATCACCTTCTGGAAACCTCTCCATGAAATTCTCAACATGCAAAACTACCTCCTCGTTGCTCAGGTACTGATATAAGCCATCGGAAGAAAGAACCAAAAACTGATCCCTTGCAGTGAGCTTGTGATGGCAAAGCGATGGTGTGCATGATATATACGGTGTATCACCAATGTAATCATTGCGGAACATCTCTAACAATCCATTGTTCAATTTTGCCTGCACAAATACACGAAGTTCTATGATCAAGAATTATCTAGTGTCTATATTAATTCAATCAGGGCATTGGATTAATCAGAACACATGACAGATATAGTTTCTAGTTAAAAGTACAAAGTACTGACAACAAATGCACTTGCTCTGAAGATGGATATGTATACCACACAAAACAAACATCGTAAGTATAAGAATCAAATTAAAAGAATGGCTGACCCACTCAAACAGTATCACAATTACCTGTTTGAGATAGCCTGCACCAAAAGCCCGGGTAACTTTTAGGCGACCCTTCACTCTATCATTTACAATACACTGATCATCATCAGGATGTTCACGTTTGATCCTGTGAACTTCCTGCAGACCAACACAAAGGATATTAATGCATAGCCATAAAAATAATGATAAAAAAAGGAAGCGACTAACAATGCTTACCATAACTAGTTATATGAAGTACTGAAATATAAAAAGCAAAAGTGAAAAAGGGCAATGGTCTGGCTTTTGAAGTGCAAGAGGATAGTAGTCATATTGCAGACGCATTCAGATAAGTCAGCACATTGTTCCCAAACAACGACATGAGCATCCCCATACGCCCGTGCCATTGTGCCAACCAATGGATACAAGAAAGGCAATTGCATGTAAACACGTGTAAGCATTTGTTCCCCTATGTCAACGAGAATGTACCTCTTCGATGCTGGTGCTGTGATCAGTCGACAGCTGCAGTGGCTTAAGCCCAATAATGGCGCATCCGCCGGGCCTTGTCTCGATCTCCAAGCCCACCCCGACGTCCTCCATCCGCCGCATGGTTCCAAACACACAGCCATCGTCGCCATCGTCCGGACGCTGCGCCACAATGGCACGGCTGTCCCCAAGGTTCATCACGTACACGTTGTCGTCCCTCACGAGGGCCACGAGCAGGCACGCCCCGGTGACCGCCAACTCCGGATGGGTTCCCATTGACTGGTCGGTCATGTCCAAGTACGCCGCTTCCGTCGAGGCCAGGGCCCGGGTGAGAGCGGCTAGCACCGCCGCATGGTCCCTCACCGCAGGCGCCGGTGCCAACCTCCTGGAACCCCATTCCCTGCCGCTCTCGTCGGCCGCGGCGTGCGCCCACATGTGAAACCGACTCTCCTTGAGCCTGTCGAGTGACAGCGCGAACCGGCCAGAGCCCGAGAAGTCGAGCTCGCTGTCGTCGTCGTCGCCGTCCACGAGAAACTGCCAGAGCTTCTTGTTGTCCGCGTCGGCCTCCTTGTAGAAGATCCCGCGGAGCTCGCGGAGGAGGAAGCGGTAGAGGTTGGTGACGAGGAAGTCGGGGGCCTCGGGGCCGTTGAAGCCGTCGTAGATGCCGACGAAGAGCCACCGCTGATCCTCGGAGACCACCACGTGGACGCGGTCCTCCCCGGCGCGGCCGTGCGCCCACTGCACGCCGTCGTCGCGGCGGAGCGGCACGGCGCACGGGCGGTTCTTCTCCGACACGCTCCGCCGCAGGCTGCCGAAGGACGGCTTCCGGAACCTCCTCGAGAACCCCCTCGATGAGGAGGACGCGGGCTTGGGAGGCTTTGCGGGGAGCGGGCCAGAGAAGGGCACGGCGGGGTCGAGCGGGCCGGAGAGCTGGCCGGCGCGGTCGATGGGACCCGAGAGGAACAGCGGGCCCGAGGAGAGGTTGGACAGCTGCAGCGGCGCGGAGGAAAAGGACGACGAGGTGTGGAATGCCGAGGAGTACCCCGGCGCCACGCCGCCGGCGGCGGCGGACGCGTTGTAGAGCGGGACGGGCACCGACGAGTTGGCGGAGAGCGCGGCGCCGGAGATGCCGTGGCGGAACGACGAGGAGTGGGCGGTGGCCGTGGCGGCGGCGGCGTAGCAGAAGGAGTGGCCGAGAGCGTCGTCCAGGCACGGCTCCGCGTCCACGGACGCCGGCGCCGGCCGCGAGCACGTGCACGCGGTCAGCAGCCGTGACGCGCCGCTGCCCATGGCATCCGCCGCTCCCTCCCCCCCTCCCCTCCCCCTCCGGCTCGGCTCGCGCGCACCTCTCGCCGTGCGGAGGGAGAGAGAGGCGGCGAAGGGCGGAGGGAGAGGGGCGGAGTCGTCGGCGGCGCCGTGGGGAGGAGTCGACGGCGCGGCCCACCGGATCTGGCGCGGCGAAGAGCGGAGGCGACGGGTGGTGGGGCGGAGTCGGCGGCGCGGTGGTGCGGAGTCGGCGGTGGCGCGATGGGGTGGAGTCGGAGGCGGCGCGGTGGGGCTGAGTCGTCGTGGCGCGTGGGGCGCAGTCGGCAGCGCCGACGACCGGCGGTGAAGAGAAGGGGAGGCGCCGGGCGCTGGGGCGGAGGAGACGAGAAAAAGGAGGGGGAGTGGGCCGAATAAAATAAAGAAAAGGGTAGGAGAGGAAAACAGCGCTTGTGTTTGTGGGCTGGGATGGGCTTATCTTCGCAAAGTATCCTCAGATTTCGTAATATTTACTTACTCCGTCCTAAAATATAACAACTTATAGCTTTTAAAATTTATCATAAAATATAACTTCTCCACTAATATTCTCTTTTCAACCAATTATAACCCTACACTATTTAATTTTCCACCTATCTCTACTTATCCTCCAATACTATACTCACACATTTAATCCTACCAACTTTCTTAATAACCGTGTCCAACTCTAAAAATGCTTATATTATGAAACGGGGGGATTAAGAAGTAACCTTCAATAGAAGTAGTGTGTCCTACTCTTATATAGCATGATTTTAGAGCAAGTTCAATAGTATAGCCAACTACTAGCTCCAATTTATCTATAGCCAATCTAATAGCTCATTCATACAATAGTTACATACTACACTATTAATATCTAGTCCCACCTGTCATACACACACTATGTCTTGAAATCCATGCTACAGCTGGCTACAAATCTATAGCCCACTGCCCTTCTTTCTTCTCATTTATCTCTTTAAAATATATTTACAGCTGACTTTTAGCCCGCTGTTGTACATGCTCTTAGGCTATATGGTTCATATAAGACCACTGCTACCGTGGTTTCTATTGGGAATGCTCTTAGGAGAAAGGAAAGCGTAGCAAGCAGATGATGCGGAGGCAGCACTAACGAGTAACGAGTGGGCTTTTCTTACCAGTACGCCCCCACTGGCCGAGGCAGTCGTTCGTTCGTGAGTGCACCGTGCGCTAGGCCGGATTATTTTAGCCATTACCAGGCACCAAGGAAGAACCCCAAATCCTAATTCCAACCCTTCTCAAGTACCGGATTGAAAAAAAAAATCTCCTATAAATGGTGAGCCTAGGAGGGGGCTACACGTAATTACGAGTTTAACTTGGGGTGAGAACGCAAATTGTCAGGTGGTGCTGGTAGTATGGTGGAGGGGCCGTTTTGTCCGCACCTGCTCCGCTCACGCCGGGGAGCAGGGGAAGAGTTCGCCAGTGACGTGGCAGGGCCGTGTTGACGTGGAGGGGATTGGGGGAGTGCAGGGGAGTCAACGTTTCGCGCCGAGACTGCCCCTCCTTGTAGGGGCTAATTACGGCGAAGGGGACTCCACCGAGGGGCAACCGCGTAAATTCGCGCGCGGTGGCGTGGCGTCGCGCGCGGGGTGTCCGTCTCGGCAAATTGGATGGCTTTGGCGGGCCAACTGAAGCATTGGGAACTCGAACTCCACCATATCTGACACTCGTAGAAAGAGGAAAAGCGACAGTATAAGATAGTACTAGTATTTTCATGCACCATCGAAAAAAAAGAGAAAAAAAAGGTAATTAAGAGAAAACCTGTGAGCGAAAAAAATAAGGATAGAATATTCTTTCCACATATTATATAAAAAAATAAATGAGAGGGCCCACGGCGCAAATAAAGAATTATGGGAGTATCAGATTTCAGGTGCTTGAAATTTTTAAAAGTTCTCATCTACTCCCTCCGTCCCAAAAAAAAAAGGCAAACCCTGGTTTTCCGTGTCCAACTTTGATTGTCCGTCTTATATAAAATTTTTTTATAATTCATATTTTCATTGTTGTTAGATGATAAAACATGATTAATGTTTTATACGTGACTTGTTTTTTTAATTTTTTTCATAATTTTTTCAAATAAGACGGACGGTCAAATGTTGGGCATGGAAACTAGGGTTTGTTTTTCTTTGGGACGGAGGGAGTAGATGAGGATTCAATGGTTTCCGTTACTCCATTACTTACTCATTTAAAAGAGAACCTTTTTTTTTCTTCATAAAATGTTGAGCAGTAGATTATTATACCCTAAACATGAAATAAACTTACAGTTCATAAATATACAAAATTACGTGGAAAAAGCATTCAAACTTAAATCAAAATTAAACTAAACCCATATATAATAACAAAACGATAGTTATACTGAAGTTTAATAAATTTTCACGTGCATGTAATCTACTCCCAAAAATTATTCTATCATTCTATACAGGGCCTATTCGGCTACCCATTTACTACAATTACAAGCCAACAATAATATGTGTCCCATTGTCCACTGACCATCGGTCCCACATGTTAGTGAGCAGTCCTGCATGTGCAGTAATGAAGAGGGTCTAGAATGGTGTTGCCTAGTTGTAGCTGCAGCTGCAATAACTCCGTAGGCTCTTCTACTGAATGGGGCAACAGTCAATATTAGAGGCACCGAGGAAGAGAAATTCTTGAAACCTCTATGGTGTTTCATGGGAGCAAGTTTAATAATAGAGCTAACAATTAGCTATTAGTCCATGTTAGAGCTAATATGTATAATAAATTAACTATAAAGTTTGCTCTATTTTTTGTCTGAATCTTTTTCTTACTATGAATTTAATGTGAAGCTTTTCTCTTTCTCTTGTATAAGAGCCAACACTCATGCATTTTCTTTGTTTTTCTCTTACACATAAGTTTATAGTTGGTTTATAGCTCACTACTAATATAATAAAAGTTCATCTCGTAAAAATCCATTAGAATAAGTCATTTGAACAGCAACAAAAATCTAAAATAAAACCTTTCACATAGATTAAATTTGAGATAAATGCCAAAAAAAAAATCTACAGATCTAGAATTCACAAGGATAAGTTTTGCTAGAAAAGGAAATCCAGAAAACAGAAAAAAAATCAGTGAAAATTCTATTAATTTAATTTTAATGACAGTTACTACCAAATGCTAACATTCGTTTACTACAATATATGTTAACAGTTAATTTCGAACTTTTTATACTATGCAAAATGGCTTTCTTGATAAAACATTTATGTGCTCCTGATGACTTCCCTAAAAAAAAAAGTTGCTCCTGATGACCTGATGATATTCTCTGGGTGTTTCACATGAAAGAAGACGGGAAATGAAAGCACGTCTAATAAAGGGTTCAATAAGTTTCAAAAATAAAAATAAAGGGTTCAAGGGCAAGGGGCATTGGATTCTGGAAGAAGAGGGGTACCTGGCAAGTCAAACTCAACAGTTCCTTGATGGATGCAGTGTGCCGAAATGCGGCCCCGTTGTTTTCTGCTGCTAACCTGATACTTACCCCCAAGTTCCATTCTGAAAATCTCAACAGGCAAAAGACAAAAGCATGATTGCAAAGTTGCATGGAAAAAAAACAGCGACTTCACCTGCGGGGAAGACAGGTAGGAACCAATCTTTGACGAAACAGCTTGTTAGCATCTGAACAGGCAAAAGAAGGACGGCTAACTTTAACATAGACTATGATGCTTCATGTATTGTTGTCAATGGCTTAAACAGATACTTCTATATGTGTTGGTACAGCATACAGTGCGCAGGAAAATAGGAAAAATTATAGTCACTTAAGCTATTACGGTGGAGTTCAGTAATTCAGGTTGATTCTTTGTTCTGCTGTGTGGAACACACAACAATATGTTAGGGGACTCATGAATTTAAAAACGGGATTAGGAAAACACAAGAGTTGAAGTGTCAAATCTATAGTCATTAGAAATTGTAAAACAAAAGAACTATTCAACCACGTATGGACACAAAGTGAATTTTCCATGAGGTTTAACCATAAGTTAGGATTCCTCCAAAGGAGTACAATCTACGCTACTAATGTTCCAGGTTCCAATAGGCAATAATTATCGTGGAGAGTTTGGCCAATGCCATAACTGATAAGATAAAAGTATAGCTTAAAAAACGGCGGTAATCAAATTGCCCGCTATAATTTAGACAAAATTAGTCAAGACATGTGTCTATAATACTATAGCACGAGAATGTTAGAGCAGGCACAATAACAGATTATAAGCCAACAATAAACATATTTCGAGGAGATAAAGGAGAAGAGAGAAGAGCAGGGAGCTATAAATTTGTAGACAGCTATAACACGGACTGTAAGACACAATTTGTAGATATTAAAAGTGTAGTATATGTTTATAGATAACTATTATATAGATTGGCTATTAAATTGATTATAGATGATTTGGAGCTAATATTTGACTATACTATTAAACTTGCTCTTAAGATTAGATATCAGATTTGAAAGTCACATCACAATGAGCTACAGTAAGCATTAAGTTAAGCTAAGATGGCACAGTATGAATGATTTATGGCACGTTGTTCTTGCGCAATGCATGTATCCGGCACAGACAGCATGGATATATATGGTTCGAGAGAACGCAAAGGATCCAGTAAGGGTGTGTTTAGATTCCAAAAATATTTGGCCAAAAATATTACATCAAATGTTTGGACACATGCATGGAGCATTAAATGTGTATGAAAAAAAATCAATTGCACAGTTTGCAATGTAAATTGCTAGACGAATCTTTTAAGACTAATTGCGCCATGATTTAACAATGTGATGCTACAGTAAACATTTGCTAATGACGAATTAATTAGGCTTAATAAATTCGTCTCGTAGTTTATAGGCGGAATCTATAATTTATTTTGTTATTAGTCTACGTTTAATACTTTAAATGTGTGTCCGTATACTTAAAAAAAATTGACCAAACAACTAAACACGACCTAAGCATAGGGGCAGGGGTCATAGGGTCTGTTCCTGCGTTTTCACCTTCCCATCCGCTCTCTCGCATCACATGCAAGGAAAAATTTTAAAGGGTACTACAACACTGCTCAAACCAACCAAGCCATGGGAAACAAACTGTTTGCAACCAGAGAGTCAGTGGTTGTCTTTGAGGCAAGCCTAATCTATTGAATCTAGCGGAGTTTAATATACTGAACTACAATTAAAATTTTGTTTCGCTTGACATAGGGAAGTGGAAGGCAAGTAGTAGTAGGTTTTAACTTTAACTGATATTTGGACCCACGTGACAGCACTTGGTCAATAGGGTTGAAATGGATTGAGTGCTTTTACACCACTAATAGACCACAAGAAACATGAGCCTAGAAATTTCAAGACATCAACTATTTCTAATTTATAAGGTCTACTGAACACTTCTACTTTCAAGTTAATGTCCTTAAATACTTAAAA